TTACATGAGGTAAGAACGAGTAATTGTTTAAAGTTGAAGGTACATTTATTAAATCTGGAATTTTCCATGGATTCCGAGGACTGGAAATGAGGGGATTGCATGGATATGATGATTAAGCTGGTCGTCAAGGGGGTGTGTCCCCATACCAAACCAGATTATACAAAATGTTATGCGTTCCTTTTTGGAAATCAACCAATGAGAGGCGAGAATACAAAAAAATTAAATTATTCAAAGCTGAAGTAGAATCTTGAGAAGCGTATATTTTCATTTACAATCAATTCTTTTATCATAGACTTCATAGGCGTCAGAACCTGAGGGTGCTAGGGGAGCCTAGATTTCTTGCAAGGATAGACATTTTCTTTGTATTGAAAATTGGGGTTTATCTTTTTTGTTGGTTTAACCCACCAACCCCCCCCCCCACTTTCAATTAGCCGCCCTTTCAATTTGCTTTAGACTCCTATGGACTTTATTACATCGATGAATATATATCTGATGAGCAAATGCATTAAAATATGTGTATCCGTACTTATTTAAAAAAAAGTATTTGTATTGCTTTGAAGACAGTCTGAAAAAAAATGACCGAACTACGTGCACCCTGGATCTTGATCATGCACGTGATAATTCCTATGTTTTTTTTTTTGCAAAATAGGCTATGCTGCAAGGCACTGTGCAAAATGTGGAAACGAAATTATTCTTGTATCATTGGCAGCATTCGCAGCTATAACAAAATAATTTTTACGAGATAAAGAGTTTTTGATTTTTTATTAACCATGCACTTTATGCACCACGTCATTATGATGCGACCGGAAAATCGAAATTTCCTTTTATATATATGTAATACCTTTTGTAAACTCTTTTGACGAGTATATAGTCAAAAATTATCAAATAACTTGATGAGAAATGACAATGAAATTGAAACATTATAACAATAATATTTTAAATTTTACTGATGATTTTCTACATGTTATCAATGAAGAATTATTATACTAAACTTTTACAAAAATAACTTTCCATTTCCCATGTTCACTATTTAACAACCATGTACAAAAAGATCGGCTGCAGCAGCGGTCGATAATAATGGGTCTTTCCGTTTACCATAACGGGGCTCCATACCCGTAACCATGCAGACAGAAATAATCTTTTTCTTGTTTAATTCAATAAACCCTTTCCAGTTTAAGTTGACAGTTGTAACAAACATTAATTTGTGCACATTAATGAGCAATAAGTGAGATTCAAACAGGCTTATATATCCCTGCAATCATCGGTTGCTATGTTAAAAATGCAACTTCCGTTAAAAAAAGAGTGCTCGCATTTTCAAACGCAACGGTAGAAAATTTATTAAAATTCAAAACATGCAAGCATGACAGTTTTTGTTCATTGTAATACCCACCATGACGTGCGGTTCAAACGCCTTGCATGGTATCGGGTGAAATTGAGGGTATCCACGACGGGAAATATAGCGTAATTTCACGATAATAGTGAAATACCACTATTATAGCGGAATTTACGTTTCCCCCCAACCTGCTAATTGTGACGTCTTAAAAGTGCATTTTCCTGTATTTTCTTTAAAAATTGCCGAAGACACCAATTTTCAATGGAATTTTCTTTCAGATAATATTGTCCATAGGCATCGCCCACAAAGATTTCGAGATATGTGATTTTTTATTGACTTTTGCACAACATATCAAAATATTAAAGTGGGCAATGGCTGTGGACACCATTTTCTAAAGGAAAATTACCCTTGAAATGGGCAATTTTGAGGCTTTTTCTGTTTATAATAGAGAAATTCATTACATTAATGATGTCATATTTAGAGAATGTTAATCCTTCATGCCATTTTCTTTCCTGATTTCTCAGTCATATACTTATCTAATATTTAAGCCAGTTTCAAAACTTTTTGATCATTTATATGGCACAATAAAGCTAAAATCACACCTTAAAGGTGCATATGCTGAATGTTGTTGCCCATAAGAAGAAAGTCCAGTTTGGGCATTTTATGTTCTTAAAAAGTTTTGAAATTGGCTTTAACATGAGTTGAGTAGATGAATATGGTAAATCATTGCAGAATATAGCATGAAGGAGGACTATTCTGGAAATAAGGCGTCATTAATTTGGTACATTTCTAAGTTTATCCAGAAAAGCCTCAAAATGACTCATTTCTGTGCTTATTTTCCTTTTAAAGAAAATAATGTCTGCAGCTGTCACCTAGTTCAATTTTTGGATATATTGTGTAAAATGTGTTGAAAAATCACATATCTCAATGTCTCAAAATCTTTGTGGGCGATGCAAGCACTGTGTGTTTTCTGAAAAAAAATTCCACTATACATGTACATGTAAATTGATGTCTTCTGCTATAGGAAAATGCACAAGTTAATGATGTCACTCAATTAACATTTAGATCATATTTAAAAAATGATTTGTATGTTTTTACTGTATGGAATTTCAATAACTCAGAAAGGATGAATTAGAATTTCTTGCTTCTATTCTAAAGTTTAGAAAATTACAGGGCCAGATTTATTGAAACTGTACCTTGTTCTTTAACATGACCCCAGTCTTTGACCGAAGGTCTCTATGGTCAAATGTACAATGTCAGAGCTATGTTTAGGTCACATAAAGCAGTAATTCTTAACACTTCTGTGGTGGTGAATCCTTTTCTCAAACAATACATATTAAGAAAAGATGTAGAAAGAAAAGATGTAGAAAGAACAAACATAGGTAATCAGAGATTACAGAGCTCACCTCAACGAATGTTGTCTTTAAGTAAGGCAAAGTCACACAATTAACCAACAAAAAGTATACATTCCAAAAATGAAAATATTTTTAAAAGCAATTTTGATCTGATACTTTGAAATAGACCTACATAAAAAATTTAAACTACTTCTTCTTCATGAAAATGTAATGAAAATCCAGCATCTGAAGCAAACTTGAGAGTTTTCATCTCTTAATGCAGCATTTGTGCAAGTTTGGGTTATACAATGTTATATAAGCCCTTTAGTTTTTGGTAATAGACCTGCATCCTTAGATGTATCATCCATGCAAGTTTGGTCAACATAGGGCTTATAGTTACTTGGAAATGAAACCTGCACCAAAAACTTTAACCTGTTCACTCAACCGGAAAATGTAGGTCAGATTCAGCATCCGAAGCAAGCCCGGTGTAGCATAATATTTTGATACCGCGATATATTGAACCCGGGTTCGAAATATCGCATAATATTTTGAACCCGGGTTCACTTTTTTGCTGCGATATATTGAACCCCCTTATAAAATATTGAACCCCTACCTTTTTCATTAAAGAGGTAGGGGTTCAAAATATTATGGCCATAATATACTGAGTCCCCCTGCCCATTTAATTTTACAGGAAGGGGGGTTCAAAAAATTATGGCCATAAAATATTGAGTCCCCCTGCCCATTTAATTTTACAGGGAGGGGGGTTCAAAATATTATGGCAATAAAATATCGAATCCCCATGTCCTTTAAATTGATGATGGAGGGGGTTCAAAATATTATGGCCATAAAATATTGAGCCCCTGCCCTTTAAATCTCAAAATATTATGGCCATAAAATATCATAAATTTAAGTGGGAGGGGGTTCAAAATATTATGGCCATAAAATATTGAACCCCCCTGCCCTTCTGATTTAAGAGGGAGTGGGGTTCAAAATATTATGGCCATAAAATATCATGTCCCCCTACCCTTTAAATTGATGAGGGAGGGGGTTCAAAATATTATGGCCATAAAATATTGAACCCCCTGCCCTTTTTAATTTTAGAGGGAGGGGGTTCAAAATATTATGGCCATAAAATATTGAACCCCCCTGCCCTTCTGATTTAAGAGGGAGGGGGTTCAAAATATTATGGCCATAAAATATTGAGTCCCCCTACCCTTTTAATTTATGTGGGAGGGGGTTCAAAATATTATGGCCATAAAATATCGAGTCCCCCTGCCCTTTTTAATTTTAGAGGGAGGGGGTTTAAAATATTATGGCCATAAAATATCGAGTCCCCCTGCCCTTTTTAATTTTAGAGGGAGGGGGTTTAAAATATTATGGCCATAAAATATATAGAAAATTTTAGAGGGAGGGGGTTTAAAATATTATGGCCATAATATTTTGAACCCCCCTTCCTTCAAAATAAAAAAGGGCAGGGGGTTCAATATTTTATGGCCATAATATTTTGAACCCCCTCCCTGTAAAATTAAATGGGCAGGGGACTCGATATTTTATGGCCATAATATTTTGAACCCCCTTCCTCTTAAATTTAAAGGGCAGGGGGACTCAATATTTTATGGCCATAATATTTTGAACCCCCTCCCTCATCAATTAAAAGGACAGGGGGACTCAATATTTTATGGCCATAATATTTTGAACCCCGGGTTCAATATTTTATAGGGGGGTTCAATATTTCGCAGCAATATTTTGAACCCGGGTTCAAAATATCGCGGGGTTCAATATATTATATGACAGCGGTAGTATGCATCCTTAGATGTATCATCCATGCAAGTTTGGTCAACATAGGGCTTATAGTTACTTGGAAATGAAACCTACACCAAAAACTTTAACCTGTTCACTCAAGCGGAAAATGTAGGTCAGATTCAGCATCCGAAGCAAGCCCGGTAGTATGCATCCTTAGATGTATCATCCATGCAAGTTTGGTCAACATAGGGCTTATAGTTACTTGGAAATGAAACCCACACCAAAAACTGCACCAAAAATGTTAACCTGCTCCAAAAACATTAACCTGGTAATTCCTTTGCTGAAATTGCAGCATCTGAAACTTTGTCTGGTACAATAAAACACACTAAAACCATCTTCCATGCATGTCTAATCAGTATAGGACAAAGAAGTAATTAAAAAGAAAACTGCTCCAAAAAACTTAACCTTAACCTGGGACGCCGACGCCGACACTGACGCCGACGCCGAGGGTATCACATAAGCTCCCCCCAACTTCGTTGAGGTGAGCTAAAAACCACTGAATAAATTCTGATATGGAAAAAGAAAACATGTTTTTTGTTACCTTTTTTATTTCATAACAACCCGTTGTTAATGTACATGTACAATAAACACCACTATGCACATTTTATGTCAGTAATTTAAATAAATTCAATCTTCAAATCTAATAAAACAATATTGCACTTGATTCTCTATCACATACTCCTCATACAATTCTACCAGTAAACCAATAAAAGTGTGGAATAAAACATTTGGTATAAAATGCAAAAGTGTTCTTAATCTTTACAATGTAAAAAAAAGTTTTAAATGTTGAATTCATGTACAATCATGGTTTTCACTCTGAAATGCCAAAGTCAAATTCTAAATTCCAAAATAATATAAAATTAATGACTGTAATTCTTGGCCAAACTATTCTATATAACCTGGTTTCGGTCAGTTTACGCTTTATAATCCGCAAAGCGGAAAAAAGCGTAAACTGACCCAAACCAGGTTATACTCGAATAATTTGGCCAAGAATTACAGTCATTCCTTATAATATAATTTTAGAATAATTAAACGACTGTGGATGTAAAATTGTGTTGCTTTTTATGAGTTCGAATTTGCCACTCAATAATACAACCGTAGCAACGGAAGTAATTTTGAAGCAAGGGAAGGTAATAACTGATACATAGACCTAGCAGTCATAATGTTTGTTTACATGAGGTAAGATCGAGCTACTGTTTGAAGTTAAAGGTACATTTATTAAATCTGGAATTTTCCATGAATCCCGAGGCTGGAAATGAGGGGATTGCATGGATACAGATGATTCACCTGGTTGTCAAGGGTGTGTGTCCCCATACCAAACCAGATTATACAAAATAATTTGCGTTCCTCTTTGGAAATCAACCAATGAGAGGCTAGAATACAAACAAAATTAAATTATGTATCGTTATTGATACACTGATGGCCATTTATAAGAATAAGACACAAAACTTGATTTCCGTAGAATTACAATTAGATATTGAAGCTGACTAAGCAATATGTAAATAGTATGTGTGCATTTAAACATAAAATTAAGATAAATTCAATCTTCCATCAGGTACGGTATATACATGTACATACTTATCTGGTTCAAGTTTTGTGTTACTATTGGTAATTACAAAATCCCAACGTGCAAATCTAATTAAGACAAAACAAGCATTTCATTTGATAACACAAGGTACAAACATTTATAGGAATATAGGTAAACTTCAGTATCTCAACATTTCTTCGACTTTCAGAAAAAATGTCAACATATAAAAATAACTGAGAAATCAAAGCTTAAACTCAGCATTCCATTTTTGTTTTTTGTTTTTTTTTTTGTTGCATAGTTAAAAAATGACATGGTCTGGTATGTTATGGACATAAAGTCAGTAAGTTGTCTATTTTTAGCAATTCATCTTTTTGTTTATTACTGTACTTGCCTCAAGTTCAAAATATACCAAGTTAATTTTATGGTTGGGACTGTGAATATATGATAAGTAGGTAGTCAACATGGAGAGGTTGACATTACAAAAGTTTTCACAAATCATTTATTTTTTATTGTCTGTGTACATAAATTGGCATATTGAAAATTTTGTGCAATCAGTGCCAATCACTGGGTATTGAGTCGTTGATGTATTCAGGAATTTGCACCACAGACTTCTGCACAGTATATTGTATTCATATAAGACTTCTAGTGGTATTTATGAATTAGTGCAATCAATGTCAGCAAGGAAGCCACTAAAATATGAAGCCAGTTTTTTTAAGTACACATACAGTGTATAGTATATATACTAAAACAGCCCAAACACTGGACCAGGATAGCAATATTGTTGACAAAGCCCATGTCACTCAAGATACCAAAATTTAAATGCCTGTATTTGGTACAATTATAGTAACTTCATCTAGAAAAAAGCACCACATGATAAATACAATGTATTGCCACTAAAAAGTGATCTCAGATCCCACTCAAAACAATTAAAAATAAGCATCAACTAATGGTACACATATGTATAAAATAAATTTTAAATTCCTTTTGAAACTGTTACTTAGTATACTTCTTCTGTGTAAATAGCTCTTGTAAAAACATGTGTTGTACTGTAATATTTACCAAAAACAGATGACAGATGTACAATTTCTCTGAACCTTTACCAATCATGATATTACATGACATATTTTTATCTATCCAACACCAAAAATTACATATTTTTCTTTCCTTCCTAACATTTTCATCTTTACTCTTTTTTTTAGTGGGGTGAAAGCAGCCAGCAGAAACATTGACCCCAAACAAATATTTTTGTGACTCTATCACCTTTCACATTGAGATTATTCTGTGCTGCTTTGTGGTTTTTCCTCTGTATCATTGTCTGTCTGTGTGTCAGGCTGCTTGTCTACTTCCTGTGCGTTTGTTTCACTGTCTGTCACACCTTGGTTTTCTGGTACAGGATCAACACTGGTTCCCGTCTCAGAATTGGAGTCTGACTGAGTCACTTGACTGTCATTCTTGTCAGTTGATTCTGTATCTTCAGCAGGTGCCTGGGACGGTTCTGGGAGATTTTTTAACTCATGGATGATCTTTTTTACACCAACCATCCAAATATTCACCTAAAAATTCACAGAATTGGGTATGCAATGCACCATTCAAACTTAAACAAAAGAATTGCACAAAAGTTGTTAAATATGCTCAAATTAAAGTAAGAAATAACACGTACAAATGATTCATATTTTTGATTTATTTTCCAAAAAATCAACTGACTCGATGGTGCTTTTACAAGTTCAATCAATCGTAATACATGTATTTTTCAAAGGACATAAATAAATGAATATGCCTGCCAAGCTTGGAAATTTTATCTGATATAATTCAAACATAAAGCAAATTATTAAAGGGCAGACAGAGAGATACAAAGGACAAAAACATTTGTTCCTATATAGCTTCTAACATGAGATTTGATTGGTTACAGAGTCGGGTGTAAATTTCCGAGCAACCGACTTGAGCCGGGGGTAAATAAAATGTGATGTCATAATGCACAGTTTTTCTCTGATGAAAAGCAAATGACAAGACGTCACGATGCATTGTAGTATGTAGTTATCAGTAGGTTGAGACACAGTTGATTAGACTCTGATGTTTAAAAAGAATTTATTTGAGAACATAGGAAATAAATTTGTTATCCAGGTCCAATTAAGGGTGTACGGGGATTTACCCCGGGTTGTATTCCATACACCCTTCGGCCTCAGGGTGTATGGAATAAAACCCAGGGTAAATCCCCGTACACTCTTGATTGAACCTGGATAACTAATATTACCCTCTCATTCTTTTGGGAAGGTAAAAATATACCCACCTCTGTTGTGTAGTCTACCATCAGATTCTGATGAATGGACCATGCTGCATCATAGATGTTCTTTTTTAGAGCTGTGTAAAATATGAAATATACAAAATACTGAAGAATGTTAATTTAAAACACAAAATATCAGTTTACCATATGATAAGAAACTAGCTCCATGCAGCATTTTTCAATTAATTTATACAATCATTTATTCAACAGGTGAGTTTGTGTTTGCTAATCTTGTGTTGAAATTATACTTTAATACATGTATATGCATTATGCAAAACAGATTCTCTAAGATTAATGTACCATCTGCCATGCTGCACATTCTACATTTCACAGGGTTAGACAATTTCTCCCAAGACTCTCCAAACATTTCGATCTTCTTCTTTACATCATCAAAAGACCTCTCCTAAAATATTTTTATGTAGAATTAGAACAGTTTTCACAATATGGTCACTAAACAGCCAAAAGCAAACTGTACTTTTGGAACTATTAAATTAGGTTTATAATCAATTTCCTTTACTTTATAGATTTATGCATTATGATTCTTTGGTAAATATTAATCCTTACTGTTAATGAGGACTTGACTTTCTCCAGACCCTCATGTAGTGAGTTTGTGATGGTATCTACTAACTCTGTAGGACTCTGGAGCTTCAGTCCCTCCACAGCCTCCTCTAGACAGCTATACCCAGCAAAACTGTCCTTTGTGGCTTCTGGTACATCTGTAGTTACAGCAGATGGTGCCACTACCATCCCGGGAATTAGGAGAGGAACTGGGGCAGGGGCACAGGTGGTAGGCACTGGTGGCAGAAGCTGCACTGGGGAGGGGTTCACTCCTGGTATAAATACTGGGGGTCCATCAGAAGGATTTAGTGACGTAGCATGTAGAGATGCTGGAGTAAGTACAGGGGGACCATCTGATGGATTCAATGTGGTACCTTAAATAGATATAAGTGAACATGAAACATTCCAACTTTTAACTTTAAAATATAAACAAAGGCAAGAACATTTAACAACATGAAAAGAGTATTCTAGTTAAGGCCTAGATAAATAATGTGTGTTTCTGCTTCAAATCCCCAACCCATCTCTAAAGTATATGAACTGACCCTGAAAAATTTATCCACCCATATCCTTCCAGAAGTGAACAGTTTCTGTTTTTTTTTACTATGAGGAATCCAAATCTCATTGATTTACATGTTTGAAAAAATGTGTATCATATACAAATTAATCATAAATAGCAATTTCCACAAGAAAACACAACAAGCGTGCTTGCAGATAAAATGTTAAAATAAAAAATAAATTGTTTTCCCTATCTACACAGCTTTTTCTCAGGCTGGAATAAAAAACACACTACTTATTTATCTTTGGCATTCTTGGCCTTTAAGATATGAAGTTTGAATTGTAGATCAATAAATCACTTGCGGTTTAACATTTAATCATCTTAGTATCAATCTAAAAATATCAATAGCTTTCAAGTTTTTTTTTTTAGTTATTTCAAATAACTAATTGAAATACCCAGTCTGAGTCTTTGTGTTTTCTCTCCTCTAATTAAACATACCTGAACTGTCACTTGTTGCTTTATCTTCTTTCTTAGATAAAGGGTAGGCAACTCTCTTATTCAGGTTTGTCCTTTTGTGTGTAGACTGGAGGACACTAGAGGACTGATAGTCAAAAACAGGAGGATCATTCCACCCCCTCTCTGTGTTTCCTGAGGAAAAAAATACACATGTAGTTCTGCCGCCACAATCAACTAGGGTTTGACTGTAAATATTATCTGGCAATAATTGTTGGAATGTTAATGAATATATCTTGGCTCGTGTTTAGCAAGTGTATTCAACACTGATGCTTACTTGTATAATAAAAATTTTAGAGCTTGCTTTTTTTAATGGACAAACTACAACATGTACAATGAATGAATGGATCTAGATTTTAAAATCTTTGATTTTCAAAACTAAAGATGATAACCAAGAAAAAAAATACTGTACAAACTACAAGAAAAAAAAATCATGTTCTATGATGTAGGTCATTTTCTCAATAAAACAGTAATTTAAGTTTTTTCAACTGGATTTGAGAAGTCATTATAGGGTTTATGTACTATTATTACTAAGAAATAGTCTTTTTGAGAAGTCTGGACTATCAACTGATATCTTGTTTCGTTGAAATCAAACCCAATATAGATAAATGCCATAGCATCACCATATTATTTTCTTCTGGTTATAAAAAAAAACTATATATATATTTTTTGGTAAAGATGTATGAAAGTATAACTTTCAAAACTATTTTTTTTATCAGTGTGTCAAGCTTGAAACAGAATTATTGACAAATTCAGCAACAATATATATGAATTCTTTGCAAAAAAGACAGTTTTACACTGGCCAACTCACCAGGCCTGGGCGCAGCCATCTTTTTGTCATGTGACCTACATCAATCAACCAATCAAATGATAACAAATTGCAAGTTTCTGCTTATCAAATTACCTCCCTTGCTCACTGTAGTCATTCATAATAATACGTGTGATATCATTCATTATTCAAATAATATTATTGCAAGTTAATGATATAAGGTGTAATTTTCTTTTTTTATGCAGGTTAAATCCGAAAAAGACACTGTTTCATAAGAGACATAAATAACATTCCCTGTTACTAACAAATCAGAGGAATTCCGAAGAATCAACGATAGACAACTCTCTGCGACTTCCCATTTGGTGACGAAAGATCGAAGTGATGGCGAAGAAGACCCTCTTGTTTAAAGGGAACAGTTTATTCATGATGTCTTAACGGAACATTATGCGATACTGTTTATTTATTTGGATTAATAATGAAATTTGGTTTCAAAACATCTTCTTGTCCACATGAAAACGGAGCGATATTTATATTTGCTTCTAAAAATGACAACTGTCTTGTATGCGACAGTGTGTGCGTTCGTTGCTTTTTCTGCACTCGGTAACTCCTCTAATTTAACAAACAAAAGTGAACCACTTAAGTCCTTTGAGACCTACGGTTCGGACGGACGGTTTGCGATCGGTAAGAACATTTATAAGGGAATTTGTTCAATACTTGTTTTCAATTTAAACATGTAAATGATGTTAAAACAGTGAAGTTCCAATTACTTAAGAAGTTTTATAACTTTCAATGTGTAGATGATAAATTGATATACTCCTCATCAATATATCAAAGAAAAAAAAAGTGTTGAACAAAACAGTGTATTGATTTTTATCAGTTTGTCTGAAGTATAGCCTATATAAGATGCATTCATGAATCAGAAAAAAAGTTGTAAATTGTTTTCATTTACTTGAGTCCTTTGGTTTGTAGTTTTTCCATTGTAAATTAAAACCATGTGTGTTTATCGCATTATCACAGTGTGCGAATCTTAAAGTATCAGTCATGGTATTCAAAATCCTTATCCTATTTTCACTTTTCCTTTTCCTACATTTTCACTTCTTCAACTCCTGTTTGGCAGTTATATAATATATACATTCTGACATATATCATTACATTCATTATTGTAATAACATGCAGTGTTATCTCACATTCTCAAAACTACTGACATATTTTTGAACATTTACAAATTACTTAACAATTAGTAACATCTGGGAATATTTAGTAATTAATGTCACACCATCTGTCCCATATCCTACCTGTGTGCACTACCTGTAGTACATGGAAAGTGAAAGTTAGAAGATTCTTGTAGACTTTAACTGATTGAATTGGTTATTTTCAGCAACTTCAATAACATGAATAAGACAGATTTGATAAGTAAATACACAAGTTCTGTATAAGCTGTTGAGAAAGTATAAACTATGTTGATTTTCACATAAACTAGTAACGATGCACTCTATTGTTTACATTAACCAATGAAAGATGGCATTCTGACAATGCAATACAAAACTATATGTTTGGTAAATAATAAATATATATCTTTATAAATATACAAAATCACATGAGCACTTTGTACATTGTCTCTCTGCAATATATTAGATTATATAAGCCCTATAAATTGGGAGGAGTCAGTATTTTAACATGAGGGAGCTATACAAATCAATCTGTGTTGAAAATCAAAATCAGGAGGAGAGATAAGAGGATTGTTTTTATGGTTTAGTTTGAAATTTTGTCATGATTCCATAGCTTGCCTGACATGCACAGATTGGGCCCCTGTAAAACCTGGGAACAGCTTTGATGATGTTTGATCTCTTTTGATGGCCACACACTAGCAGACAACCTGGACAGATTTACAACTCGTTAATTACTTGTTTACATTTCCAATTAATGCTACTGAACTGATGGCATTTGTACACATAATGCGATCAATTAATGGTATTGACAGTATCTTGTTGCCTGGTTTTTAAAAAAAAAATTATGCAAATTCAGACCTACGTGAATCTTGCATGTTTGCGTGTGCAGGTTGGTGTGGTCGACACACTGTTTCTAAATCAGGGGCTTTGTTTCATATTGATTTGTTTGTAACTCGGGTTCAGTTTATCGTATATCTTTTGCATTTTGTTGATATTTAAAGGTACATGTTAATTTCACAGCATTATCCTCAGATAAGAGGGTGTATGGTAATGAATTTACTATGTTTTGGAGTCGGGGATTGTATTCATTATTGCTTTTGTGGCATTATTAGCTGCTTTTGTCAGGTTTAATGAGTTCACATATCTAGATAGTCCAACTATTGCTAGAAGACAGGTGGTCCTCAGAGGAATCAGCCAGTGCATTTTTCTTTAGGATTACCTGTTATAGTTAACATTTATACCGTATAAGCAGAATTTTTAACACAGATTTAATTTTGGCATTATTAGCAAGGGTGTTGAGATTGCTAAAATTTCATATCGCTAAAAATTAATTGCATTTACTTTGTAATAGCTTCTCTAGTAAACATTTTAAAATTGCATCTCTCTAAAAATAAAACACTATTTTTTAGGACAAAACGCTAAATTTGCATCTTTGCTAAAATTTCCACTTATATGGTATAATATAAATACCTGTATGACTATGAGAAAGAAATACTAATAGACTAGCAAAAATCAAATATTGGTAATTTGGCATGCATGAGCAAGGCTAATTAATATTTTCTGGGATTCTTAATTGACTTCTAACTTCAATCATAGATTTCCACTGTTCATTATATAAAGTAAAGGCAATATTGAAATAGACAGATTTATCAACTTTCTACTTTAAAAACAACAGACTTCAGAGGGTTTGTTAATGAAAAAGAAAACTGAAATAGAAGATTCACAAGAAAAATTGTACAAGAAAATTACAACAAAAAGAGGAAGGTATAATTGATTTCTATATAAATGACAGAGACTTGTTCTAACAGCTAGATTGAAAACTTGTATTTTAGAGTGTTCAGAACCAAGCAACATGCTTGCTCATGTAGACATGAAATAATATTGTGAAGAGGAGGTATGGAAATGGATGTGTTCTAGTGTTTGATTTTAATATTTATGAGGAACCTTTATTGCTTTGCTGAGTGTTTCAGTAAGATCTACACAGGGTTAAATGTTGATACACAAGTAACCAACAATGCCTTCTTTATTGGACTTTGTAGGGGACAGGTAGATATAGTTACCTGTATATTGGAATTTAGATGACAGATTATGTTAAATTCAGAAAGCAATAAGCAATGGGATTCTGTAGAATTAATTGCTTCAAATGTATCAGGAAGTTAATTTTATTTTCCGTATCATTTTCATGTTTGTAGGTTAGAAATATATGTTTATAGGAATTGTTTTCATTAAATTAAAGATGCACTGTCCATATAATCTACATGCAGTTTTAATATTCACCTTAGTTATATAGGGTCCAAGGAGCTTAGGGCATTTTAAGAGGAGAAGAACACTTGCATTATTGCAATTTTTATTCAAATGTACTTTTGTCCTCTTTGATATCTCTCAAGATGATAAAAATACTGGCATTGATTGAATAGACTTTAAAAGTCATATCATATATAGCATTGTTGGAAACTCGCAGTCAGTCTTACAGTGATGAGATCTATGGAAGGGAATTACCGCCAAAAGTCTATGTATCTTGCTTTTATTCTTATTCTGACTACTTCTTTATGCTTTGTTATTATTGTAATTATATGTCACTTTATTGTTTTCATATTCGTCTTTATTACATTTCACTTTGACTTTTATCCTTCTTCATTTTGCCCTTACTTCTATGTTGCTTTATTCTTGTAAATTCATTTTACTTTCTTTTAAATTGATACAGTTTCTTAAATGATTATCTCTATTACAAACATGAATTCAATCACATAAAGAACATGAAGAATGAAGCATATTCAATGAAGACGAATACAGGTTGTCAAAATTTAGTGCCGCATTATAACGCTAGGTGGCAGGGGTGTTCGCTACGAGCGTTGGTAAAACTAGAATCATACCCGGCCCGGGGTTATGTGTATTTTTCAATTTTCTGCCTTAATACTTTATCAATCGAACTTAAATTTTCAAATGATGTTTTTATAAGTTCAGGTATGTACCCGATAATGCCATTCCCTCGAAAGATGGGATTATTTCATGGAAGACTGACTATATAGTGATGCTTCCTTCGAAAAATTCCAGACTTCCCCCGGGGAGGTTTTAATATATCTCTCTTCCGTGGGAAATATCGTATATATAGCAATTCGTTTTGTGTATAGCAACCCCTCCCCCGAATAGTTTTTTTTAATCGTTAAACAATGTTTATATACTAACGTTTTCAGTTTTTGAAGAAAAGTTATCCGTCCTATATGAATAAATGTTTAAATGATATCATTTTAATAGTGGTTAATAATTAAATCATTTTAATCATTTATATGGATAATGACTTCCTTCCCCCCCTGGATGCAGCCTCCCAAATCCCCCCCCCCCCCCGCGGTGCAGTCGCCCGCGTGGCACTGTGGTTACGGCGTCTGCTCTAGAGTCACGAAACACAGTAGTAAGGAGTCGACAATACGTCGTGGGTTCGAATCATAGTCCCACTATGGGACGTGGAGTTCGGTCCTCCGGATGAGATCTAGACATTATCCGAGGTCCCGTATCGCAGTAGGTGCTGGCCCGACAAAAGATCCCTCACTGCTCAATGGCTATAAGTGCCGGGTATATAGGACAAATTTGCAGCTCTCCACCGTCAAGAGGTGGCTTCTCCATTTGATTAAAAATTCTCCAATTTAAAGGGACGTTATACAATGTACAATCACACCCCTAAGTCTCAATATATATACTGACAGTACAACCTCCTATGGGGTAAGTTTCACCGCATGCGCGGATTTAATGTGGATGAAGATTAAATTTACAAGGTTAAGAAATGTATATACTAAAAATAAAAAATTACCTTGGACCCCCCCCCCCCCGGTAAACATGAATATGTGTGAAATGGGAATGAAAAGTGAAGGATTTGATGCAATAGAAGTCATAGACTACACCCCCCACCCCCACCCCCACCCCCAACATTTTCCTTATATATAATGGGTATATGGCCTGAAAAAAAATTTCTGAGCTATGCACCGGTAGAGGGGAGGGTGGCCATAAACATTTTCTTAAACGTAACAGACTTTTTACTACTGGCAAAGTTCAGAAAGGCTAATGTCCTTTACACTTTTTGTTGCAGCACTAATAGTCAATTTATATTTTAAAAGTCATGTACTTAGTGAAAATATTTGGTACTGAAAAAAGTCAATTTTCAACACCACCAAATAGAATTTCCAAGTTTTAAGATTTTTTTAGCTCTCCTGGCTGATGTAAAATACGGTGCGTACATATATTTCTTTTCTTTATTGAAAAGTATATTTCAATATAAAATATTATAGCAGAAAAGAAAGGAGTTTCTATATGCATGGGGTGTAGCCTGGTATATTCGCCTACCCAAACGCTCCTCACTCCTTTGCAAAGCCCCATCCCTAGAATCACACGCATGAGCAGTTACTATTTGTCGTGAAATAAAGTTCAGTTATGGAAGGTCCTGAAAAACAACTTCATTTATAAGGGGTAACTAGTATCAAAATATTTTTAACATTTTTATATCAATTGAACTGGAAATCAATTATCCAACAAATAACTTTAATAGAGTTATATTTTTTCAGGCGAGAGAACAAGGAAATTGTCCAAACTTGAAAATACACAGGCGTCGGAACCGGGGAGGGGGACTAAGTCTCACATTTTCTTGATAGACAAGTATAGATTGAACATTGCTGTTTTTTTCCATGGACACGATGCAGTATAGGTTTAAAATGGGGAAAGTGGTGTGTTTTGCAAGAGAAAATTGGCACTGAAGTTCCCCCCCCCTCCTCCACGAAATAGGATTTTTGTGTTAGGACAGTGGACATTCCTTTTTTTTATTGGCTTGTCAAGTTTTTTTTTGAAGGTCTAAAAAATATTTCAATGTTGACCAGTTAGAGAGCGATGACCTTCACTTTGTCACACCATTGAAATCCTATGGGGGCGGGGGTGGGTTTTTAAATTCAACTTCTTCTATAGTATCAAATTTAAATTTTTCCCTACTATACTACATTAACCTTATTTGACCCTTACCCTTACAAAAAGTGGGTCGGCCCTTCATGACATATTCAGTGTTATATAAAGTTATATCTGAAAAAGCCATTCCTGTGTGCCCAAAGAAAATAAATATGGAGTCCATATTGGTAGCTGATATCTTCAAAGTTCGATTGATAAAAATTGAAAAATCTCGAATTACCCCGGCCCGGGTTTGCTTACCTAGTTTTACCAACGCTCGTAGCGAACACCCCTGCCACCTAGCGTTATAATGCGGCACTAAATTTTGACAACTTGTATTCGTCTTCATTGAATATGCTTTTCTTTGTGTGATTGAATTTACGTTCGTAATAGAGATAATCATTTAAGAAACTGTATCAATTTAAAAGAAAGTAAAATGAATTTACAAGAATAAAGCAACATAGAAGTAAGGGCAAAATGAAGAAGGATTTAAGTCAAAGTGAAATGTAATAAAGACGAATATGAAAACAATAAAGTGACATATAATTACAATAATAACAAAGCATAAAGAAGTAGTCAGAATAAGAATAAAAGCAAGATACATAGACTTTTGGCGGTAATTCCCTTCCATAGAGATCACCCGTGGGTATCCCATGATGATTGTATGGAAGAGGTGCTTGATCTTTTCATGGCTAGGTGGTTGCATCTGATAGATACATACTAAGGCAAATATGTCAATTATTCTTGGTATCTATGGCCAACACCAAGTTTTATTGTAAGGAGTACTTTGGCATGTACAACAAACCTCCTCTTAGTGCTAGGAAAAGTGACTAAATGTTGATGCATGTACATGTTTATTCATTTTTTTTTCTACTGGGGAACAAAGATCCTGAATCATATCCTGTACTTTGTGTATTTTTATTTTATACAGTACACTGAATAACAATATCTGCTTCAAAGTATATATATTTTTTTTAACTTTGTAGTTCTGACACTGTAATTATAATGTCCCAAATTATTGTGACACTGAAAAATTCCAAGTTTCTTTTCTCTCTTTTCTAGCCAATGTATATATGATAAAATTTATTTTTTGTGTATTGTAATTCATTCAGTATTCTGTTTTATAGTTATAAATGATTTGGGACCCAAAATTTATTGTTGAGATCAATCATGTTTTCTGTACATATCATTGTCACATTCCAATATCATGAATGAATGTAAACATTTTTACATCATTATATATTTTTCATTCCCCAGTGAATGCCACAAACAAATCACATGTATGTTACAGCTGTTCTATTTTATAATTCCTCTCAAGAGTGACAAACCACCTTAAAGCCCATAGTGAACTACTATACCCGAGATTCACAGACTAGACATGTTTACCTAAGTCATTTGTTAGTTTACAAACTTCTCCATCAACCTGTCCTGTATAAAGCGACTCAGTCAGCTGATCAGCTGTTCCTATTGATTGCTTGATTGTAAACGTTGATCAGCTGAGCTAAGTCTGGGGATGCTAATTAACGAGATATGTCAGATACAGAGATGTAATACAGTTTTCCTCCAATTTAATGTGGATGAAGATTAAATGTATACATGTTTAATAAAAATAGGAAAATGAACTCACCAAGCATGTTATTATTGTGTACATTAGTACAAAAGGGTAATTTTTAATATGAGTCTGATCAGTAAGTGCTCTGACCCTTACATTTTCCTTATATATAACGGTATATGGTCTGTGTACTTTACTGAGCTACACTGTATGTTGCAGTAAAATGAAGATTTTCTAAGAATTAGAAATGTCCTTGTCCTTATAAGAACCCCCTCTTTTTTTCATAAAACATATTATAATAAACACTCAATATCCTAAATGTTGTTGGTGCATATTGCTTTTTTCTGATTCATGTCTGCTAACATGGTACATATACTTTAACATATTATTAAAAAAATATATGATAAGAGATTTTAAAGGATGGTCATATAATTAGATATATACTGCAAAGGTAAGAAAAAAGCCAAGACAGGTAACAAAGGCTATTAATTCAACAACTGCATAATTGCAATGCATTTGCTGTGTGGTAATTAAATGGCATGTTAATATTTTGCTTTGCTTTTTATAACAAAATTAGCAAGACAAACTTTCTAGATAAAATATGAATTTCGAATTATATGGTGCAGTTTTACTAAGTCTCACATTTTATTGTGCACATTGTTTTGTTTTTTTCAGTTTGCGATGAGAAGGACATTGTGTGCAAGAGAGACAACATAAGTCTCGAAGCTGTCTATGAAATCCATCGCCTCATAGATGACGATCAAAATGGCAATGTTGACCAGTTAGAGAGCGATGAGGTATGTTATGACACACCAGGAAAAGTCATGCAGTGGTTCTCAAAAAATCGTGTATAACATAAAAAAAATTCTGTATAGACCAATCAGATCACACTGAAGAAGGCTCAAGGGACCAATAGGAAGCCAAGAACTTCAAACTGATTTATCACACTAGAGCTATGTTTGTTTTTCTGACCAAAGCCATTCTTATCCCATTACAACTAATTTGATCCTTACTTGGTAGCTGATATCTCAAACTTATAAAAGTCTTTAGGGCACTGGGTTGTTGACATATAATGACCGACCTGGCAGATCGGTTTAAACATGGGTTTAGTTCAGGTGAAATTTTTTTTTTGAATAAACAAAAGATCTCATTGTGGGACACAGAAAGCTTACAGCTATACCCACAGAGTATTTTGAAAGCATTTACCTGTACACTTCATATGTCAAATGTGATTCTTATCAGGAAACTTTAATTACACTAGCCCCCAGGGTTAGAACTTACAGAGGTAGATCTCTAGCATCTAAAGTACACAGCTTCACGAGGTGTTAGTTTTATGCAACACCGATATCTAGATATTGCACCAAGAATGCACGTTATGAAAGACCTTGACCATTCTCTGGTCGGGTTAGAAGGAATTAACCAAGGTCACTTTGGGATGCGTTCTTGGCTTGACCAGTCATTTGCTTTCAGCCCTGTTTTTCTTCTTTGTTCCTTATTGCCTGCGTTATGAGATAAATCTATCTTAGCATTGGCTCCTATGCATCAGATCAGACTAAGTGCCAAAAACATATTACATTTACTGGCATTTTATTAACACATGTTTCCACTGTAATCAGTGCATATATACTGTGACTATAAATCTAATGGACAATGATATATATAACATCCAGTAAAACTAAGAATTCTTTAGAAACTCAGTCATGTAACTTGAATAAACAACTGATAATTGAGCAGTTAGTTACACTGCATGTGTGGCCAACTTTGATTAATATTTAGGTGGTGACATTTGTCACCCTTGCTACATCAGAGACAGAGTTGTAGAACTTTCTGTGTGTATTAAAACACCTTGTTTACAAAGTCCAGGTACAAAATGACACACCTGTACTGACCAGAAACACATAAACTAAGACCAGGTGCCACAAAACTGACATGGAACACTTTACCTGGTGACTTATGGTAGATGGACCTGTATAGCATAAGTCTAGCATTTCACAGCTGTATGAAAGTACATTATTACAGAGGAACTCTCAAGTCACATTTGTATTGGTTTTCATGTCATGGGTTTTTCAGTGAAGTAAGATGTCAGTGGTGTCATCTTATCTTGACGACTTTGCTTCATTCATCATGCAAAGACTATTACATTTCCATCTGTGGCTTACAAAGCTGTCATGCAATTCATTTTATTACAAACATAAGTTTTATCAATTGGATTTTTTTCCTTTTGTCTTATGCTAATATTTCATGCAGATTTTTCTACTGAAATAAAAAATTGTATACCAGGATTAGTATTTCATTCAAATAAAGCATTGATTATTATTTTTCAGTTTATGAGAGATGAACTTCAGTACAAAGATGGGTCAAATGAGAGGCTGTCGATTTTCCATGGCAACGATAAGTTAATAAGTGTGGAGGATTTGTGGCATGCTTGGAAGAAGTCACAAGGTACGCTAAACGGTGACAGCCGGGATAGGTTTGACAAGAGATTTAGAAGGAAGTAGTGCTGATAGTACATATGTTCAGTACTAATGGCTGTGTAGCTATAAAGAAAGCATGTTCAGGCCACAAGTGACCCATAAACTAAGAACAGACTTGAGTCCAAATTTTCATTCTGAATACCTTGAGGTTTTTTTTTGTACCTTTCAAGTTTTAAGAATTCCATATATTATTCAATTTAAAATATGCGATTATTTTGATTGGATATAAAAATTATTTCAGAAGTTAAATTTTTTGAAATTTTGACTGAAGCATGTTTTCAGTTTATGGTCTTTAAGTCAGTAAACTAAGAAATCACTTTGGCAGCATGCTCATTAGTATTGACATTGTATAGCTAAATGTAAAGAAGCCTATTCAGTACTGAGTAATTACTTAGGGAGTATATTCAGGCAGTACTGATACTGAAAGTTCAGTGCTGATACCATATAATGAATAACAGAGCATGCTCGTTGTTGATTCTGCAAAACAAGGAAGCTTTTTCAGCGGCGATAATACATGTATATACAGTACAGAGGTACAGTTCATGTAGTGTACAGTTCTGATTTTGGGAAACAAAGTGCACATTTAGTATTTATACTTTGTAACTACAGAACTAATACAGTCTTATAGGCACATGTTTAGTACTGATTTTGTGTATGTAGGGGTATATGTATAGTATATATATGTATAGTATATGTATAGCACTGATAATAAAAATATACTCAGATAAAGGGTAAATATTCAGTACTAGGCTAATAGGGGTATATGTACAACACCAATACTGGGTAATGAATTTATACTCAAACAGATAGTAGACATGAAGCGCTAATACTATGTAGCTAGGGGCACAAACTCATGATGTAAAGTAGTAATATAGAGTAACTTAGTGAACATGTTTAAAAGTATGTGTATATTGTGTGCACTTGACAGCCCAGAGGGATTAAACAAATGGGAATCAGCCATTGGAATACTGCTACCTTCCCTAAACTTGAAATTCTTTTATCTTACAATGGAAATGTAAATGAGGAAATTTCCCATAGTAAAATCATTCATTAATAGGGAAGGCTGGATATAGGAGGTTATTTTTGGATGCCCAATGTAATTTATTAAGCCATTATTTAATTGAATACATTATATATAGGGAATTATCTATATGAGGCATGCACAGTACAGAGTATTTGTATTATTCAAGGGAAACAAACACGTCATTGCATATTAAATGAAAATTAATCCCAAGGTTAAATTTTTCGCCTCCACAAGTTAAAATAGAGAACTTGATAATGGAAAGCTGTAACTTAGGAAACCACCTGAAGTGAGTCAAATCAATTACAATGTATGTAGAATATAGATCTTTACATGGGCATTTAAAATGAGAGTTGCTATTAAGATGCAAATCACGATTTGATAAACATTGCTGACTGATGTTTTTAGAAGGAAAACTGTATCAATTTGAACTAAAAGTTTTAAGATGCAAATCATGATTTCATAAACATTGCAATTGCCAACTAGAGCTTTTTCAAACATGTTTCTTACTGTATGATGTATGTTTCTTTTTTGCGTGGTGTAAACTGTTAAAGCTAGTCAAATTAGACCCTCTAAAATATGAAAATTAAATTGTAGGGGTAAAAAATGAAAAAAAATTATTATAAGAAAGCTTTCTCATCACCCTGCATGTGCACCAATGCTTTTAGATATATTCAGTTTTAATAACATACAATCCCAGTATTATAGAAATAACCCACACAATCATATGTTCTTGTTTCAAATTACTCAAATATTGACATTTACAGTATCTTTACTTTGTGAAATTTAATTTTTTGCACTCTCCAGTATGAAATTCGTTATCATTCAAAGACTAGAAAACGTGAAAAACAAACCATTTATTTTTTGTCATTTTTATGCACCCAAATTTATGATGCATGTTATTTTTTTGCCTGTCTGTCTGTTTATTTTTTGCTGTCTGTTGTCAACATTAACCTTTGCCATAACTTTTGAATGTGAAAGATAGAGACTTCATATTTGGTATGCATACTCAAAATTCACTTTCAACTGAAACCTAGTTCAATGACCTTGTGACCTTGACTGTGACCTATTTTCTTAAAATAGCTTTTTTCGAACTTTCAGAAAACTACTGTACCGTAAAGATAAGACCATATTTGGTATGCCTACTCCACTTATCAAGTTCTTTTAAATTTTTCAAGGACAATTCTGTGACCTTTGTTATTTGCTAAAAATTGCTCTCTAAAATTTGTTGATAATAGTGAAAAACACATACTTGTTTTGATAAAGTAGTAAGTTTTTGAAAACTTTTACAAAATAGTAAAAAGTGGATAATTCTTAAAATAAGAGAATTTCAGTTTATAGGCAGATTTTGGTAGGAATAATTAATTCATAGTGTCTTTAATGCATCATATTTCAAAACAAATCAAGTAATACAAACATATATGGATTTTATCTAGATGGAAATGGAATGAGATATTGATTTAGTCAAGTCAAATATACTCGTTCATCAAAGCTTTAAAATCTCTGAAAAGTGTTATGCACCCTGAAAACAGATCACGTTTTTAATACTTTGTGAAGAAAGTGTGATATTATTACGAAATGACAGAGGGAAAAGAGTGTCAATCGCAAGACAAGTAGAGATTATATATCTGTTAGAATCAATAAACTTCAGAATTTGGACTAATTTTATGGATTGGAAACATCATTTGATCTAGCCAAGTGACAAAATGCATCAATATTGTAACAAAAAAAATTCTTAGTACGACACATCAGATTTTCAAGATTACTCTAGAAGCAAGCGGTGTGATTCATTGATAGATTCACACATAGCCAAGTAAATTTCTCATACATATATATTATTCACTCCAGGTATATCTCATCAATTATTCATAAATAAACACTTGACTTATTTGAACTGAAAAAAGTAAGAATTTTAGGAGTTATGAATCACAAATATCTTTGTTGACTTGTTTATGTTACCCTGCTTGTGGTCTTCTCATATAAATAACTATGCACATTGCCCCATTTAACTAAAATATATTCTGTAAACTTGTAACTTGAACAAATTGTGTAAATTGAACAAAAAATTATGATGATTTGGATCTGTGTTGTCATCTGTTATACTACTTAGATTTGTACATGTAAACCATGTCGCTTGAAATAAAAGATTTTTTTCTAGTTGTAAAATTTTTTTGGAGATCCCATAGAAGGGAGATAACTCCTTGAAATATCTAAAAAAAATCTTTAAGTTAGGTCTTGACAATGACACATTTGCTAGTTTGTGCAAAACTATGAATTGTACTTGCGTCAACTGACCATTACATCTGATGTTTTACTTTTGACAGTTTACAACTGGACTATAGAGGAGGTCACAGAGTGGCTAGCAAAACACGTAGAGCTTGGTCAATATGTGTCCACTTTCCAGCAGGCCAAGATTGATGGCACCATGTTACCAAGGTAACCACGTACGCCAGAAAGTTTAAAGTTACCGTCACATTTTTATCTTAATCTGATGTGAAGGTAAAAGTACTGTAAAATTAAAGTCAACAGTTTGTATAGATCAGGATCAGGATTGTAATATGTTTGTGTATGTACACTTGTACATTACATGTGAAAATTTAGCCCAGTGTACAATAAATCAGTAGCATATTTAATACTAATAATGAAAGTTTCTACAAGAAACCAAAGTTTTTAGCTATACAGTTTTATTTTGGTAGAGTATTAATTACTTGGAGCCATGGCAAAAGTCGGTAGGTAGGTTTGTGTCCCAATCAATCAATTTACAGTATATACCATGGTACCTTATGATTTTGCTGCCCAAGTGCATGGTGAATTGTTTTGTTTTTTAAGTTGCTGACCATCCTTCTAGTATTTTGTTTCATGCATCAATGACATTTACTAAAACATACTATCGGTTTCCATATCAAAGGTTTCTTTTGCCTAGCAATAAAGTCACGCTAAATATAACCAAACATGTTTACAAATTCAAAAACATGTACATGAACTTTGTAACTTTGTATTTCATGTGTCATGTCCATGCTATTTTTGTACTGTAGATTATAAAATTGAGTTACAAGTATATTTCTAGGGAAAACTTTGAAACATTGTTTTTTTCCTAAAATTTGAGTACAAAAATGGTAGCAGCAATTTGTAATAATTTCAATTTTTTAATTGCATGAAATTGGTGGATTAGTGATAAATATAGGTACAGTATATTAAGTTGTATTTTTGTCTTTCTTGGATAATAGGTTGGTTCTTACTTTCTTACTTACTGTCTATGATGCCTTTGGCGTATAGGGCAGTCATATTTCAGTTTTGGATTTATTCCAGCAAACATTGGTATGTGTGGCAAATATAAGACAGAGAGCATTGTGTGACTGGCTGTCAGTAAAAAAAAAATGTAGCTAATATTGTGAGAATTTGCTTAGTTTCTAAGATGAATGACACTTCCAAACTCAGTGCAGTGTCGTAATGAATTATAACATTCACACAGAGGTCATAATAAGATGAATATTAGAATCATTATCCAAACTTCCAAACTTGTTTTTTTTTTCATTGAATTTTTCAGAAAATGTATTTGTTTGGAATATAAAAAGCATTATATCAAACAAGACTACATTTAATTAGTCCAATTCAATTTTGTATCTTGTAATTGTGCTTAAAATATTTAAAAGAATTCAAGATTTCACAGATTGCTTTATTTAAGCTGGTACTGCTGGCAGGTTGTCTGAAGCTATAAATAGATATGCTGTACTTTAAAATTTGATATTTTATGAATGTGGAAAAATACACCAAAAATTGAGGAATTTTGGAAATTTAACAAGGCCCTGACTTTTTTGTGACTTTTACTACTTGTATATGCCATCACTTAAATTTTAATTTTAAAACTGCATTATTCTGAATGTCACCCAAGGAAGAAACCAAAGGACCCTAGACTAGCTTGTTCATCAATAAATTTCAGCGTAACTATTTGTTTGTCCTTTTTAGCTCTTCTGAGCCTTTAATGCTATGGCCATTTGTGCGGTGTGCGTCGTGCAGTGTGCGTTAACTTTTTAGAATATGGGCCATAATTCAAAAACTCCTTGGCCAATCATTTTCAAATTTGTCACAGGGCCAATTTCAACCAAACTTGTATGGAAGGGAATTACCGCCAAAAGTCTATGTATCTTGCTTTTATTCTTATTCTGCCTACTTCTTTATGCTTTGTTATTATTGTAATTATATGTCACTTTATTGTTTTCATATTCGTCTTCATTACATTTCACTTTGACTTTTATCCTTCTTCATTTTGCCCTTACTTCTATGTTACTTTATTCTTGTAAATTCATTTTACTTTCTTTTAAATTGATACAGTTTCTTAAATGATTATAACTATTACGAACGTTAACTCAATCACGCAAACAATGAAGCATATTCAATGAAGACGAATACAAGTTGTCCGAATTTAGTGCCGCATTATAACGCTAGGTGGCAGGGGTGTTCGCTAAGAGTGTTGGTAAAATTAGGTAAGCAAACCCGGGCCGGGATTATTCGTGTTTTTTCAATTTTCTGTCCTAATACTTTATTAATCAAACTTAAATTTTTAAAAGACTGATGCCGGAAGACTATACATTGGGACTCCCCCCGGGGAAGTTTCAATATAGTCTTCCGCGGGAAATCTAGCTATATATAGCAATTCGCCCCTTCCTAGCAACCCCTACCCCGAATAGATTTTTAAACCGTAAAACAATGTTTATATATACTAACGTTTTCAGTTTTTGAAGAAATGTTATCCGTTCTATCAGAGACCTATATACTAGTATATAGGTCCCTGGTTCTGTATGAATAAATATTTAAATAATATCATTTTAATAGTGTTTTATAATTAAATCATTTTAACCATTTAGTTAAACATAGATAATCTTCACGAGTACATATGGATAATGACTCTCTCTCTCTCTCTCTCTCTCTCTCTCTCTCTCTCTCTCTCTCTCTCTCTCTCTCTCCCCTTGGATGCAGTCACCAGCGTGGCACTGTGGTTACGGCGTCTGTTCTTTATAATGTCACAAAGTACAGTATAGTAAGGAGTCGACCAATACGTCGTGGGTTCGAATCCCACCATACAGTGTAGGATGTGGAGTTCGGTCCTTCGGATAAGACCTAGACCGTATTATCCGAGGTCCCGTGTCGCAGTAGGTGCTGGCACGAAAAAAGATCCCTCACTGCTCAATGGCTATAAGTGCCTCGTAGGACAAATTTGCAGCTCTCCACCGGCAAGAGGTGGCTTCTCCTTTTGAGTGAAAAATTCTCGAACAGGAAATTATACAATGTACAATCTCACCACCAAAGTCTCAATATATATACTGACTTCCGGGTGGGGTAAGTTTCATCGGTAGAGGGGAGGGTGGCCACGAAACATTTACCTAAACGTAACTTTTTACTTCTGGAAAAGTTCAGCAAAAGGCTTGTTGCCCCCATCCCTTAAACTTTTTGTTGCAGTACTAATAGTCAATTTATATATTAAAAGTCATCTACTTAGTGGCATATCAGTAAAATTTATTACTGAAAAAAGTTGACGACCCCCCCCCCCTTTCATCACCACCAAATAGAATTTTCAAGTTTAAAGTTTTTTTTTAGCTCTCCCGGTTGATGACAAACACGGTGCGGACTAAAGATATTTCTTTCTTCATTGAAAAGTGCTATTTTAGTATAAAATATTAACGCAGGAAAAAAGACCGAGGTGTTTCTAGTATGCCTGGGTGCATGTAGTCTGGTTCCGACTTCGCCTTCCATGCGCGGATCTAGATGGGGGGGGGGGGGGGGATTAGGACCCCTTCGAATTAACAAGGTTACTAAAACAAGGAAAAAAAGTTACCCCCCCCCCATGAAATAGAATTTTGACGTTTGAGCAAGTTTATGTTATTTTCTTCTTTTTATGCTTGTCAAGAAATTTCTGGGATTGGATTTTTCTTGACTGGGTTGCCCCCCACTGGAAAAAAATTCTGGATCCGCGCCTGCCTACCCATAACGCTCCTCACTCCTTTGCAAAGCCCTGTCCCTAGAATCACGCGCATCAGCACTTACTATCTGTCGTGAAATAAAGTTCAGTTCAGTGGAAGGTTCTGGAAAACAACCCAATTAATCAGGGTTAACTAGTTTCAAAATCCTTAACATTTTTATAACAATTAAACTGTAATTCAAATATCCAAAAAATAACTTTAGTAGAGTTATATTTTTCACGCTAGAGAACAGTGACGTAGCATCGTTTTTGAAAGTGGGGAGGGGGGCAACAAGAGAATAAATATTCAAGCTACCCGGCTGAAAACAACTTGACAAGCGCAAAATAAACCCCAGGAAATTGTCCAAACTTGAAAATACATAGGCGTCGGAACCGGGGAAGGGGGGGGGGGGGGGGTTAGCCCCCACTTCTTTCCAAAGATAGACTTAGTATATAGACAATGAACATTCCTGCATAGCTTTAGCCCCCCCCCCACTTTCCATGGACACGATGCAGTAAAGGTATAAAATGGGGAAAGTAGTGGTATTTGGGAAAAAAACTTTGGCACTGGAGTTCGAACCTTCAACCCACCCCCACCCCACCCCTCCTCACGAAATAGAATTGTTTGTGGTTGGGAAATGGTCAGTTGTTTTTTTTTTTTTTTTTTTTTTTTGTGTGTGTGTGTGTGTGTGACAGGTTTTTTTTTTTTGAAGGTCTAAAAAAATTCTTATATACTCCCCCCCCCAACTTTCAATTAGCTTCCGATGCAAATGAAATCCTATTTCGGGGGCGGGGTGGGTTTTGAGTTAGATTCAATTTCTTCTTTAGAATCGAATTTAAATTTTCTTCCTACTATACGTACATTTACTTATTTGACCCTTACTCTTAAAAAAAGTGGGTCGGACTTTAAATGAACATAGTATAGTATAAAGTTGTGTCTGAAAAAAAGAAGCCGTTATTCCTGTGTGCCCAGAGAAAATAAATATGGAGTTTCCATCATTGGATCGGGAGATCGGATCCGGCCTTCAGAAGTTCGATTGATAAAGTATTAAGGCGTATTAAAGAATCTCAAATAACCCGACCCGGGTTTGCTTACCTAGTTTTACCAACACTTGTAGCGAACACCACGCCACCTAGCGTTATAATGCCGCACTAAATTTTGACGGTTTGACAACTTCCATTCGTCTTCATTGAATATGCTTCATTGTTAGCGTGATTGAATTAACATTCGTAGTAGAGATAATGCTAATAATTTATTAAAGAAACTGTTTAAGATTAAAAGAAAGTAGAATGAATTTACAAGAATAAAGCAACATAGAAGTAAAGACAAAATGAAGAATGATAAAAGTCAAAGTGAAATGTAATAAAGACGAATATGAAAACAATAAAGTGACATATAATTACAATAATAACAAAGCATAAAGAAGTAGGCAGAATAAGAATAAAAGCAAGATACATAGACTTTTGGCAGTAATTCCCT